CTGGTGATCTGAAGGCTGTATTTTTTTAAGACAGTCTAGCAACTATTATGCCAAACCACCCACACTAGGAGACAACATATGGCAGCTACTGTGAATTAACATGCAGCTAAGTAGCATATCACCTAGTGCTTTTAAAAAGGCTTGAGCCTTGATAGCTGGATTCTAGGGTTTTGGCTATCTGGCCATCTCCCTGTAGCGCGCAAAACATGACCTTGCAGATATTGAGTCATGATTTTGGCTGTGTTGTTTCAAAAGTTTAAAGGTATACGCAAACAGATTGTTGTTTTATACTTGCATATGAGTATGCTGATATATATGTATATCAGTGTGTATGTAGGCTGAGATTTACAGGTATCTTTATGGGGTTTGTGTGCTTTCCCCTCTCCTTATATAGGAAGCAACTCTGTTTACACGTACCTGTCTGTACTGTATAAAGTTTGGCGTCGTTTGCAAACACTGTTGCTTCAAACTTTGCGGAAACTGTAGCAGCAATCTAGAACAAATAATATTCTCAACCAAGCAGAGAGACTCTGAGCAAAAGGACTGTGTTTCTTCTGTAGTTTTCAGGACAGGTGCGGCCCTGAAGGTGTGCGAGTGCTCACGTGCACATGCAGCTGAGTGTAAAAGTTTGAAATTCAGGGGAAGGTGAGCGTGATGCTTGTTTTACATCTCTTGAGTTATTTGTACACAAGACTGAATTGATTTCCAGCATGCTGAGGTGACTTCATGAATTCCAAAAGGAGTTTAAGTGGTTAAACTTGTGACTAAAAGGGACACCAGAGAAATTCTCGCTGTAAACATTCACAAAATGTCAAGAATGAGACATTGTGAAAAAAATCCTATATTGTTTTGTCAATAAATTATGCTTTCTCCTACATAGATCACAGAAATGGGTCTTTACCCTGGAAACGGCAATATTTGATACCCCAGGCAGCTTATTCCCAGCTCAGCTCACACTTCACTGAATGCACTGATCGATTATCCGCGGCTTAACCAAGCCTTCTCATTTCCTGCCTTCCATTGCTGCGCTCAATCAAGCCGGCGGTTCTTTGTGGCCTGCCTTGTGCACTGAGATAAGCCATCAAGGCATGTTTCTATTAGAAAAGCTCTTGTAGATGGAATAGTCATTAGATAACACTAACAGGTTTAAAGGTTGCAGGCTTTGTGTTGGTTCAGGTTAAGAGGACAGGAACCGAAAGGGCTGCCTTCCTGGGCTGTTGTGTTGGAGGGGCAGAGAGGATTAAACAGCGTGCTGCCATACTTAGTGCTGCTCTTTAACATTTTTATTTCTTGCTGAATACTGATAGCTCTTGCTTTTGACGGTGCTTCTGTGTTTGCAAGAAGTAATTATGTGTTAATATGCATGCATCTGAACTAAATCAAGCTGCAGAAATAACATTCATTTGTAGTAATAACCTCTGTGTTTCCAAGCTGGTTTTCTTGGCTTACAAACAGCTGATCGGGTTTCTTATTTCATTAGGAAACAGCCTACAAAGAGATATCCTGAGAACTTGAAATTGCATGTGCTATTGCAGAGTAGGAAGAAAAATGATCCTTGCTGTATCTCTTTAGCTCCTGATTTCTGGATAGTTTCATTTGTGTCCCCTCTCTCTTTCTTTTTTTTTTTTTTCCCCCAGGGGGTCCTATAGGAGTAGTCTTTATTTTTCTTTCTCCCTCCTTTGAATATTAGTAAATGTCAAAATTGAGTGAGTGTAAAAATACTTTTACAGGAAGAGCAGAAATATGGGTACCATGGCAGGGAGGGGTGGGGCAGAGCAAGTGGAGCAAGTCAGATCTACCCCTTGTGTTGGAGTCAGGCTGGTACTGAGTCATGGAGCGTCATTGGCACTGTTTGTGTGAAATAAAATAATCATTTTTGGGGCACGAACAATGCTCCGAAGGAGTGGGTCGATTTGTAGTATTTAAAAATAACGTGCACTTGAAAACTGGCATTGTGGGGCCAGAGCTTCTTATGCTGCGGTGTGCAAGATGGTTATTCTGAACAGGGGAGTGACTGCTAAAATCGTTAAAATCTTGTTAAAATAATACCAAGTATTTGATAGCTTAGAATGAATCACATGATTATTTTTTTTCTAATAGAAAAATTTCGTTGTTGAAAATACCTTTGGAAGGAAAGATGTTCTTTTCCTCGTTTCTATTTTGCTGTTTGTTTCTTTGAAATAGCTGCTATTCACTGACTCCAGCATGCCCATCTGTCATCTCCAGCATTTGGTATGTTGTTTCCAAAGCTAGTTGTGATTTAACATGGTATCTAAATAGGGCAAGTAATGAAGGATACTGCTTAAATCCCTCTGAGAGAATCTGCAGGACATCTGTGATCCTTTGCACAATTTGGTTAGTCATAACCCTGGGAAGAGAATGTGGAATCTCATAAGATATGAATTGTAATGTGCAGTTTTCAAGTGCGTTCTAAAAGAAAACTTGACACCTTGGAATTGCCACAAATGCTGTGGAAATCAGTACGTTCATAGTTTTAAAGATAACCTGTAAGATTATTTTTTTTCCTTTTAAGGGAGAGGCTTATTTTTCGGTAGAAGTTGACCAGATGCTTGTGAACTGGGATGCTTTAATCCATTTACAGATTTTTATCTAATTCTTGTTGAATGTCCAAAACCGATTCACTTTTTTTTAAAAAGAACAAAAACCAAACCAGCAGCAACACAAAACCCCCAAATAAGTACTTTTTTACTTTTTTTGAGTACTGCAGCAATAGAAGATCTTTTCATTTAAGGAGAGAATAGAGTTTTGTAGCACAGGGAATCTTTTTGAGCTGACAGAAAGACACTTTAAAGCACTTGCCATTGCTGTGATTTCTGCAAGTCTGAATTTGGCATGTGAGTCTCTGCAGCTTTTCATATGGTAAAGGTGTAAAAATAAAAGGAACACTTTGTGAAATAGGGGGCGCTTCTTTTGTGTGCACATGGTTCTAAAATAAATAGTCTACCACAGAAGTTGGCGCCTTGATACCTCTGAGTATAGTCTGCTCTGTAAATGACATACGTATTTAGAAAGTTGGCTGACAAAATAGCATGTGTAGGAATTTCTGTGCAATGAAGGATGTAAATGTGAAAAACAAGATTGACAGACGTTTTATATTTTTAGGGAGATTGAAACCTCAGGTTAAAACCACGGAATCATGCATGTTGGAGAGTAGATACAGAAAATACTTTTCAAGATGAAGCTTTTAAATTGGATGAGAAGCAATAAAAAAATGGTAAAAAGTAGTATTTAGGAAGGAGATCAGATCGTCCATCCACCTAACCCAACAACCCAAACCCAACTGCTATCAGCAGAGCACAAATAGCAGCTTATTAGTAGGTCAGCATACTTTTAGTTGCGTCATTGTGCAGAGGTTGTCTGTAAAGTTACTTGCACGTCTGGTTGTAAACAATGTTTTTGTTGCTGCGTTCCTTGTGTGGAGGCACCGAGTCGTGCCATGCGTGTGCATTCTACGATTCAAACGACGAAGAGCAGTCAGCATTGGGCAGCATGTGCTGCTTTCTGTTCTGAAAGATATATAATGGGGCTGATAATTTTTAGATATGTACATTGGCCGCGTTCATATTTTCATGTCATTTATAATTCATTGAAAATGCCCGTTTCATAAAATTAAGTTTTTAGGAGTTAAAATCATAGAAAGCTGTTGTACACCATGGCTTCGAATCTATGCGTATACACACCATTTGAGTTGATTGTCTATTGTTTTTATCATCTGGTTCAGTTCTAATTCATTCTTCATCTTTTTTCCCCCCTGTAGTTTTTATTATTTTTGTTTCTGAAGCGTACTGAAAGAAAAGCCAGTTTTCTGTGTTATGAAACCCCCTGTAATTTCTTTTTCTTTGTAATCTTCCCCTTTGACAATGCCTCACAACTACATGATCAACGTAAAGAAGTCAATACCATTCCTGTTGGCAGGTTGCAGTGTAGGGCAATTCATCATTTCCCTGAGAACTTCTTAGATTCAGCCAGCCTGCTGAAATTCAATCTCATTCTCCATGTTCTTCGTGATTGTGAATCTGATTTCAGGGGAGGAAATGTTGTTGTTCTGTTTCCCTGTGCAGAGTAACTGCTAATCTCTGGAATGAAACACAGTGAACAACTGAGGCGTTCTGTGAGCCTGAGGACAAAGTTTCAAAATGGGAGATGGGTACCTCCCCATCAAATTAAGGTGCTTGAACTAGCAAAAAACTCCAGACCATATGTAAACGTTATGCTTTCCTCAAGTATGGGATTTTTGAGTGATGAGGTGGTAAAATACCGCAAAACTTAGTAAATACTTTGACTGCCTTCATTGTGTGTGAATATTCCTAATAAGCTCTTTTGTAATCACCTGCTATTCCATTTTTTTCTTTTTCAAATGCATATTGGGAAACGTGGGTGTTTGCAGTGGAGCTTACAGGGACATAGCAAGAAGCAAAAACTTGTCTTTGCATTGACTGAATGACAAACTGGGAAGGTCCTTTGGGAGGAGGGGAGATAGAGATGGTCCATTATAGCAGCAAGTGGAAAAACCTCACTCCCAACCGCTTATTCCTCCTATCCAAGTGTCCTGGTGCTTTGTAAGTGCCTGGCTGTATCTCCGTGCTGCTAAAAGCCCTGTGCTGCTCTGTGATGTGATAAGGAACTGAGACAGGGAAGTTGAGTGATTGCATCACCGTCTCCTTTGGCCTGATTCGCAATAGAGCTGTGACCTCCCAACTCGCTGCTCTGTGCGATGCCAAGGCAATGAAAACATTTGATGGTTTTGACCTCTCCCTTTTGTACAACATAATCTCAGTGTATGGGTACGTAAAGGATGTACCTTCACACAAAATTGGTACGCTTCAGAGCTCCTTCTGCCAAGCTGCCCCCTCCCCTCGTGGCAGAATGGCTGTGAGGTTATGTACAGGGTTGTATCTGTTCGTCATTTGCTGCCTTTGTCCTCTCCATGGCTAGCTCTCATCTTTACCAAGACGCAGTAACTTGTTTCCTTTTCTCAGATCTCTCCGTTGGCCGCTGGTTGTTGTTGAGGCTTTTGATGATTCGATTTGTAGACGAGCAATTGTAAGCACCGTCCCTGGCAGAGCAGAGTGTAGATTTCTAGTCCTCCTCCTCTTCCCCCTGACATAATTTGCTATTCGAAACCACGAAATTCAACACTTCATTTTGTAGTTCTCCCTCGTGGTTGCATGTACGTATGTCCTTATGCCTCCTTTACAGTCCTGCTTCGAGTGTTGTGTTGTTTGAAAGACAGCTGACTTCAGTGGCAGAACCAAGAAGATGGAAGGCATTACCTTTTGATGCTGCTTGTAAACTGTACATAGAAGTGAGCAGTTCTTGTGCCACAAAGCGATGCTGAGTGTGCTCTCGGGGCTTTGTGTAACACAAGAGGGGCGCTTTCTCCTCTCAACGAAGAAACGCAGAGAAATGCTGGGTTAACGTTTCCCATCGTTGCATGCAGTTCTTGCTCACACTAACATAATTTGTGAACTCTTACTAAGAGGGTAACAGAACATTTGCTTGGTTTTTTTTTGTTTCTTCAGAATTCAGAGAGAGTATTTATAAAAGCTGTGATGCACAGAACTTTATTTCAGGAGAACACGAAAGCCTGCAACCGTGTTTTTGGAACAGCAGGCAGCAGAAATCAGTGTTGTCTCAGACTTGTTCTTTTCGTTATTTTTTTTCAGGCATTAGACAAGCTTGTTGCCTGTGACTGTGGGGAGAAAAAGAAGTAGGTTCAGGTTTCTCCTGCACAGCACAAGTATGCTTAGTATGTTCTTGAATGGTTTTTGAGGCATTCGGTACATAGAGCACATGTGGTAGTGCTGGATTAGGTAACAAATTTTTTTCTGGCACAATGCTGCCACTAGCAGTTTCTTTGTAGTATTACATGTGTTTTTAATCAAAGGCTTCAAGAAGTGCATTTAATGGAAAGATTTTGATGTTGTTTATTAAGCAGAGAGGGTGGAAATTGCTGTAACAACCAGTCTGATGTGAACAGGAGAGCTGATAAGAACTTTCTGGTCCAGCAACGTGTGATTTAACTTGTAAATGGAAATGTTTTAAGGGCAGTCTTAGAAGGGACTAGATTACTGTAGTCTAGAAAAAACAAACGGTGCTTGCAGTTGCCTCATGCCAAAAGAATGCTAATTTCCCCTTTAGGCCTTCCTCTGTTTCTTTAAGTGTTTTGGAGCAGCAGAAAGAATTGACTGCCAAGGGTTTCAAAGACAAACTGAAGCAGAGAGTCTGTAATAACTTGATGTAAAAATTCTCTTTTAAAAGTGGTGTTTATGCTTCAATTCCCTTCTAAGAAGGAACAAACCAGTAGATGGATTCTCAAATGAAAAAGGAGCACTTGAGGAAGATAGTTTTGTGTAAATTTTGCTGTTGGTTTTGTGAGGTACAGGAGCAGTCAGTCTGTAATTAATGGGATTGAAGTGCAGCATCCTATTGCTTTGTGTAAAGGAGTGTAATAAAGAACATCTATGCTTATGTCTGAATCCGTCTGTCCTTGGGGAAGAAAAAATCTGGTATCTCTTAGTTATGACTGTTACGAGGGGTTGCACTGAATTATGTTACTACTGGTAGACTTTTTTCCTGTATTTAGCTATAAATGCTTCTTGTTTGTAGAAATTAACAGATTAAGATTAACCTGCATGAGGCCAAAAATTCCAATCGTTTTCTGATCCCTGCCTCTTCTAGGGTTAGTTTTTTGTGAGTGAATAGATTAGTATTTGCTAATCAGCTGTAGAGATACAACTGCATGATGATGCAGTAGGTTCTTGTTGCTTTTGTCTAGTTTGAAAGTCAATCTGTCATTAGCACATTGCCTTTGTTTCATTGCAGTAGAAATGTTTTCCTCTGTTTTGGGTTTTACCTCAGGTTTTCTTCAGTGTGAAAACAAATTTTATACTTAAGAAGATTGTGTCGGATGTGGTCTGATTTCCTTTTTAGTAATGCCTTTAGACCTTCTTTTTCAGAGTAAACGGGACCACCTCCTTATGAATGTCAAATGGTACTATCGCCAGTCTGAAGTCCCAGATTCAGTCTATCAGCATTTGGTTCAGGACAGACACAATGAGAATGGTAAGTTAGGCTCTGTAGAGTGAGGCCTTCTTTACTTGTACTCTGAATTTTAAGTTTTAACAGTCCAGAAAGCAAGAACGTTCTGCATAGGGATATGTAAAGCACAGGCTGTTGATGAAAACAATATATGGGAAGATGGATGACAGTGTTTCTTACCTGCCTTGTTTGTTCTAAGTAGTGTATGTCCTGTAACCATAGCTATAACCAGATGCATTTCGGGCACAGTTTAAATACTGTGCTGTGTTATACTAATGCCTTAAAGAGAGAATAGAAAAGAAAAAAACATGAGGTCCTTTGTCGGCCTTCTGGACAGTGTACTGATACTGAACTGGCTCAAGAGCAGGTTGTCTGAAGAAATGGTGAATCTTCTATTTTTTGTGATTCTGCCAGTGTCATGAGAACTACGGTTTTTACATTCATGCAGCCTTGCACGTATGAATACTCACTGTGATCGATATTGCAGTAAGTGATGTAACTGAAGCACTCGTAGCTGAGTTTCCCCCTTTTCTCTTTTGCAAAAACAAGTGTGATCTTGGGCTTAATATAAGCAGAAGAAACTTTAGTACGTAATCCAGTGTCATTTATCTCTTGCCTCTAGGGGAGACATAACATTTGCTTCTATTCTTACCAGGAAATTTCCTTGAGGCAACTGTTAAAATTCTAAAGGTACTCCAAGGTGAATTGTGGTGATAAAAGTTGATGCTTGAAGTACAGAACACAGGACCTTTTTGGTGTCTGGCAGTACAAAGTTGAGCATACATTCTCCTTTCTGCAGGCATTAAGGATACTTTGTGTGTGCTTTTAGCAAAAGCTGCACAAATCTAGTACTTCTCTTACTAATTGATGTGACAGTGGAGTTACAGGCACACTGTCAAAAAGTGAGCGTTTTTGATAACACGGCTGCTTTTTTATCACACTCGTGCACGTGGGGAAGTACTTTTTTGTGTTCTTCAAAGGTATTCTAAAGAAGTAAGGGAAAAAGTTGTCTTAGGTTTTCATTAATACTGAGAATTTTTTGTAGTTCAACATGAATATCAGTATTTATCTCTGCCAGAGCACTGAGCAGGTAGTACTGTCAAGGTTTTGTGGAAGATTTGAGATTAAACGTGCGAAACAACCAAAACCTTAACCTGGAAACCAGAAGTTAGTGATAAATTAACTTGCTTAGTTACTTTCACCTAGGAGTGACCACTTGTAGTGGTCACTGGATGTGTCCTCCAGTACCCTTAAAAGCTCTTTGCCTTCAGCAAAGATCCTAGATAGGGCAAGGGAGAATTCATGTGTAAAAGTGGGTATGAAGTTATTTCCATACTTTACAGGCCATGTAAACAATCTGAGTGTTTGTCATTTTAGCACTGAGGAGTGTGTATCTAAGAAACATCCTCAGACTTTGACCTGTAAAAAATACCTGCAAAATGGCAATGGCAGATGCTTTCTGACTGCAGCTAATGTGTTGGTGGTTTTCTGTTTGTGTTTTTGCTTTCTGGCAGACTCTGGACGAGAGCTTGTTATTACAGACCCAGTTATCAAGAATCGAGAGCTCTTCATTTCAGATTACGTTGACACTTACCACGCTGCTGCCCTCAGGTAAGTGACAGAGGATGTGGTGAGGTCTCAGACGTGGAGGAGAAAAACCTTACTGAGAGAGATATGCTTTTTCTGGGTTTTTTTTTTTTAGGGGGTGGGGTGGGGGTGTGTGTGTATCATACTGCTCAGCTTTCTCCTCATCTCCTGCAGTAATTAACTTGTGTTATCTGTTCTCATTCAAAAAGGAGCTGTAATTCTGCAATCTCATTTTAATCTCAGTTAGTCAATGTTGCTCAGAAGATATTGTTTCCCATCACTTCCAATTCAGGTTATTGCTAGTTCCTGGAGAAATACTACCCTTCCCTCCTCAGTGTTTGATTTCACTGTTAACAATAGCATGTCCTAGTAAAGTGACTGTTAGTATGTTGCCCTGATTAAATTGCGCTAAAGGCTTTTTCTCCCAGGCACTTGTCATTGTTGCAGCTCAGCTAAGAGCTCCATTAAAAACTCGCTGTACAGACAGGAGGTAATGGACCCCTGTATTGTTCTCTGTACTGTCTGCCCTTCCCTGGAGGTTGCTGCTCTCTTCACTTGCCAAGTTTTCAACTGAAGTGGCTAACCTTTGACTAGGCTGAGGGGATACACCATGACTTTAAAATGTTTTAAAATAGAAACAGCGAGACATTATTTTTCAGCAGGTTTTCTACGTGCCAAACATGCATGGATATTGTCAAAAAGCAAATTGAATAATCTCCCTGATAATAATGCTCAGATGGTGTTTCACTAGAACCATCTGGAGACATTTTTTTTGTTCAGAGTCACTTTGCTGAAGCCACTTACTTCAAGACAAACTAGCAGCAGCTTCTGTTATATGGGTGGGAAGAAGGCTTTGATTTACATATTGGTCGTTTTTATAAACTCGGAAAATTCCAGTGGTGTACTAGAATCTCATGAAATTCCACAGTGCCTCTTCGGAGTTACAGAAGGTCGCCTTCCAATTTTAAATCAGCATGCGTAGAAACAAGCTAGCAGGAGGTTGGCTGTCTTGATGGAACCAGTCTTGGAAATCTAACTGTCTGCTTAAACAGAGAGAAACTGAACTATGCGTGTGGAATTTTCCCTGGGAGTATCTGAACTGCTGTTCTACATAATTTCTGTTTTTTTCTTTAAAGGGAAGAGTGAAATGGAATGTATACCAATCAAACTTGAAAAATAACCTTCTTTTCTCCCCTTCCAAAAAGAGTAAAGGCTGCTGAAAGGCTGAACTGATCACTTCCTCAGCCTGGCCTGTGTTTTATCTGCTGCCTTTTGGTTTGGAAGTGCATACCCTAGGCACCTTTCAGATCACTCGTTTCTCTCTGTTAGCATATGGTTTCACTGTTGTTTTGCTGCGTTCTGGATTGCTCATACTTTTGGTAATTCTTGCAGGCTTGTAGATGGTATCTAAAGATGCTGATAACGGAGAGAATATACTTTTGCAGGGTAAAGATTATATTTTTGCCGATTCTGTTCTAGGAAATTGTGAGTAATACGTGTCAGTAATTTTCAGTGTGCAAGATGAACATAAGGGTAATTTCACGTGGCGTTCTTACAGTTTGAGAACATAGAGTAGGCAGAATATATTGTGATGTCTGAAAAGAGGGTTAAGATGAAATTCTGATGTACTGTGATATGAGATTATTTCCCTGCTCTCTGCAAACGAATGGCTCTGGTCACACAATGAATGGGTGACAAACTGGGAAGCGAAACCAGTGACTGTAACTACCAATCTCGTGCTCTAACCAGTGGAAAAATTTAACTAGAGGTTACTTGTTAGATCCCTGTGGAAGTGTGTAGTAAAAGTTTGTCCTTTTTACCTATGTGGTAAATCTTTGTGGTAATATCTAGTACTACTTGTCTGAAATACTGTGAACAGGATGTACTGCTTTCATGAACATAGATAGTGCGAGCTGATCTGGAAAATACTTATTAACTGGCAGATGAATTATTGAAAGGAAACGAAATCTTTTTCCCTAAAATATTTTTGAAATGCGAATTTAATGTGAAACATAAACACCCCTTCTCGTTTTCTTTCTTTCTAAATGACTAAACTAGGAAACTAGCTTCAGCCACCGGGGATAAAGTAAATACTAGCGAACAAGTTTGTCTTTCAGTATTTGTGTGTGACATCTCAATTATGGGTCTTGCTCATGTTCCGTTACAACCTGGCATGACCTGTGCAATATCCAGCGTTGCTTTGTTCTTTGCCAGAAAGGCAGTTGACTGGGAATTAGGCAATCGTAGGGACAGTTACGCAGCCTCAGCTCGCAGGACAGACGTATTGATTTTGTCTTAAAACAGTCGGCAACTTCATTCATCCTTCATCCTTCTGGTGTGTGTTTTCCTCACCTGTAGAAGTTGATGTTGTGTATCGGCCAGCTCGTGTTCCGAGGCAAAGTTCTCAGTGGCTGTTGATTGGTGAGCTTTTTTGAAGAGCTTTACCCTGAGAAGGTTGGGAAGGGAAGCAAGCTTAGCATTTCACCTTTCTAGTGCAGTGTTTCAAGTATGCAGTGCTTTTAAGCTCTGCTGAGAAGACTAGGCAAACAGATCCAGTATTATTACAGGCAAAATAATTCTTTATCTTGGTGTACTGGTGGCAACAGCACTTTTCATTCAGTTTTAACCAAGACTGGCAAACCCTTTTACAACGTTGAATAAGCCCCATAGCAGCTTGCTTATAATAGCAAATACTACTCAGTAAATACAAATGAAAGGAGATGCTATCTGTATTAATACTAGAAAGCTTGGCATACTGAAAAAGAGCAAAATCTTGTGCTTTCTTTATTGCGTTGAATCAGGTTTAGATAAAAAGCACGAACTCTTTGGCCGGCTGGCCTGTTTGTGTCTGCCTGCTTCTGATCTGATTTACTTGGTGGCAATAAACTGGGATGCGTTGAATGACAAAACAGGAGCAGCTGTTGAACATTAACAGCCTGACAAACCCTTGAGGAAAGGAGATGCAACTTCTTACAGCTAGTCCTCATGCTCATCCTTAAGGATAATGACTTCATCAACACACTATATTAAAAAAATTAAGTCTTCTGCAAAACAAGCTAATAAATCCTCTTTTCTTTTCAAATGTCTTTGTGTTTTACATATGAAAGTAGAAGGAAGAAACTTGTGTGTTTGGAATTGGCATTGTTAGAATGGCAGTCTTGCTAAAACCAGCATAGCTTTGGAAGTGTTATTAAACTGAAGTTTTATTTAGCTTTCCAAATTAAAAGCTGACTTCCCAAATAATATGAACAGTAGAATTTTTGAAGCTTCCTTAAAGACGTAAGTGTAATAGGACTGTAAAAACATTTTCAGGATTGTATTTCTAGGGTAGATATTGTTTGTTAGTCTGATTAAATTTGGGCTCCTCAGGACTGTGTGCTGGCTGAATGAGAATTAATGAATGTTTGTGGAACACCATCTGAGACATTGTAATTGAATTTTCTTCCCTTTCCACCATGGGAAGAATCTGCGTGGTTGTTACAACAGGCTTGTATTTATGACGTTTTAGACATTTATGAGAACACAAGGATGTCTGTGGCTTATACACAGATTACAGTGGCACTTAATTAAAATAGCTGTTATTCAAGATAGAATTCTAATACCGTTTTCTCTCTTTCTTTCAGAGGGAAGTGTAACATCTCCCATTTCTCTGACATATTTGCTGCTAGAGAGTTTAAAGCTCGAGTGGATTCATTTTTCTACATACTGGGCTATAATCCAGAGACAAGGTAAGTGAAGTGACTTTTAAAGGAAAGCTTTACCACTGGTCTGAGCCTGTAGGAACAGGGAAACTACTGAAGGGAAGAAAAGTTAAAATTAAATAAACAAAATTGTGCAATGAATCATGACATCAGGTTGCATCTCTGGGTAGATAATGTACTGCTTCAAAACAGGTTTTTAAACTGTGACTTTTTTTACAGGTTCAAAGAGCAGAAGTTCTTAGCTGCCTCACTGGCTGAATGCACAGCCCTGAAAATACTTTAAAAATACATTCCTATCTTCTAGTAAGCAGCGTTGAAACGTACACATTTTTATTAAGAAATCAAATTGAAAGTTTTTAAGTGGAAATTCGTGCTTTCATGTGTAAATACTCATATAGGGTCCCATATCAACAATTCCTAGCTTATGCTTTGCTGGCCTGGAGCAAATTAAAGGTACAGAAGGAACTTCTTTGGGGAATTAATGCATATTTGAAGAAGGTGTGTTCAGCATGCTCTTTCATTTCCCAGTTCTTTCAATCTGCCTGGGAGTTGTCCGACCAGTCTTTATCAGCTGGGTTTGGAAAGCAAAGCTGATACTTGACTGCACCTTCATTTTTTTTCAGGTCCAATCCAAACCGTGACTCTTACTTTTATAATTTATGTAGTTCTGTAAACACAGAGAATGCCTTACAAATACCAGCCTTAAAGAGTTTGTTATCTAGGGGTGTTTTTCTACGAGCACTTGAGTAAAAGGTTAATAATGTGTTACAGGGCTCGGCAAGGTCTGTGCTGACTGAAAGTTGTATTGTTTCTTTTAGTGCTGAAAACTTAATTAGCTGGGGACCTTGATTTCTAGAGATGTTGTTGAGAAAAGTATTATTTTAAGTGGGGATTAGATAGGCCTATAAATAACAAATATTTGAATTGCTACATGGTAGATTTACTATCTTTAATGCAGATATGAATCTTTACGCTTCAGGGCATAGCCAACCACTAACTGCTTGCAGGCAGGAAGAAACTCCCTGTGTGGGCATGTTAGTATGTAATTGCCTATTTATGAGGCTTCTGTACCTTACTCTGAAGTGTCTTAAACTGTCCGTACGTCTGAGACAAGGTATCGGCCTAGGTAAACTCTCTGAATGGATTCAGTTTACATTCATAGCAGGTCTCAGTGCTAAGTCCCTAGGAGGCAATCTTGCTAGTGTATGGTGCTGAGATCTCTGAAAAGGGCATGAAATCCTGTAATATTTTAGAATACGGTACTTTAAAATGTTTTTGTCACGTCGTTTGTGTATTTTTTTTTGGAGCAGTCTGACAAGGCGAGGCATTTATGAAGTTTGTCATCATAGACCTCTCTGATATTCAGTACTGTGCTTGACCCCTATATTTGACTTTGTTACTTTTTTCCATGCATTTTAGTTTTGAGGGTCTGAATGCTAAATGAACTATTTGTATTAGTGTTCAAGTTCTGTGTTTAATGGATGATTTCTCTTACAAAATGCCATTTATGCAAATTGTCAGTGCAGTTTTAAACCCGCTTTCTGTGTAGAAGTAGCTGTTAATTCTTCCAGCTATTAGAAAATGACTGAGCCTGGAAAGATCAATGAAATGACAAAGCATAGCACTTAGGGATTAGCTAATTACTAGCTGGCTCTCAAAATGTGGGTTTTTCTTCATTTGGTTGCAGCCAGGGTCTCTTAGTTCTAGCTCACCAAGTCTTGTATTTAGTCTTGGAATTTGAGGAGGTTTAGAAAAAGGAGCTGAGTCTAGGTTGCTTCATTATTTTTAGCCCGTGTTTGCTACTGCTTTACAATGCATGCTGCTCTGAGTACCCAATTCTAGATTTATTTTGCTTTTGGAAGTTAGAAGTATTGTCATCCTGGAACACATGTTACCCGTTGGTTTGTCTATAAAAACCAAAACTTTGTCTTCAACTTGATCTGCTTTTCTAATGTAGTGTTTTGTTTCACGTGAAGAAGATGGAAGAATGTTCATGGCACCTTGAAGTAATAGTATGTTGGAGATAAGGTTTTGAATACTGCACTGTGACCCCCCTCAACTGACTTGTAGAACTGTGTGATAGGATACGTCTTAGACCAGACAAGCTTGAGCTGTGGATTGTATCTACAAAGACACATTTCTGTTTGCGTGGTTTTATTTTGCGTTCAGCATAAGATACTCATATGCTTTTCCAGGACTCTCAAATGCAGCTCGGTGTGGTGGGAATCTGACTATTTTCCATGTTTTCATGTGTTCTATTTGCAAAACAATCCACAGAAATCCCAGACCCCTAAAACATCCGAAACACTAGTGTAGTGGATGTGTAGCAAAAAGCCCTCTTGTTCTTGGAGCACACAGTGCTAAAGGAAAGTATGCTTTGTCCTTTCTTTTCTGTTTGAAAGCTTGCTGACTGTAGGTTTAACTTGGGAAGTACCAACCACAATCCTGATTCTGTGGTCTGAAGTTCTAAACCTGTTTCTTTCGGGTTAACTTTTTCCTTTACAGTGTATATCAAGCGGGTGCTTTTTTTTCCTGCAGAGTTCAGTAAAAGATTACATGCTATGTTTCATTAATTCTCACATCAGTGAGAAAAATCTGATCATGGAATAAAAACCTAAACTAATCTTAAAGTTAGAGGCTGGGTGTTACCACCTTGCATAGAGTGTTAAGCTAGGAAGCAGACTCGAAGTATGTTCCTCGCTCTTGAGAGTGTAGAATACATCCGTTAAGCTTGTATAGCCAGCTGAGAAAGAAAATTCATTTTATGCCAAGTACTTTGAAATAATTGATTTCATGTCTCCTCAGAGAAGTGACTGCTCTGACACTGGCTAATTCCACTAACATGGAATCCCACTCAAACCTTTGGGTTCCCCAAATGGCTGGGTGAGACCAATGCTTTGTCAAAGAAGACATGTTAGGTGAATTGTTTAGGCCCTGAACTTAGTTTAGAAGCTTTTCAAAGTGTATAGAAAAGCAGTGAAGAAGCATTAATGGACAATTAAAACCAGACCTGATGTACCACTTCAGAAACTGAGTAACTGCACCAGCTTGAGTTAAACTGCCGATTTTGGTATTTGAGTCAGAAACCAGCTCTGCCTGCTGAGAAGAAATAGGCAGCAAGGCTGGGGAATGCTGTTGAACGTGCTGCTTCACCTCAGACAGCCGTTTTTCACCAGCTCGCATTTTACCACTCATTTACTGCAGCTCTTCCCCTATCTGTAGTGTAGTGCCAGATCAAGCTGGTTCTGGCAAGGACTTCTTCCAGTCCTTCCTTTTGTGCTCTGATATCCTGTATGGACTTACAGAAGCAACTTTGAACTGTCTTAGTCAAGGATGCAGGCGTGCCAAATGCCACTGGTGGTGTTGGCCTTGTTGTAGTGTTATGGCATGTCCTAGGCAATCAGCTCTTTAATCTCAGGAGTACATAGTAAATACCTGATGTTTTGTCTGACACTGACATCTGCAAATACACATAGATTTAAGTGCTGCTGAATTTTTACTTGAACTAGAAACAATCGGATACTATTCCACAAGCGGTTTTCATGGCCATGAATCACAATTATTCTTCCACAACATCGTTTTACATTGTAGAACAAAATAATACCAAACATTCAAGCCATGGGTGAATTTTCTGAGTAGATGTTTTGGGAAGAGCAGGATCTTGTCTGTGGTTTTTATTCCACAACATTTGCTTTTCCTCTATTTTTCATCTTTTTGTTCTGAAGTATTCTTACTGGGGGATGTCGTGAGCTAAAGGAGTATTGGTGTGTCTGAGAGGACTGTTCCCAAGAGTGAAATTGAAGGCGACTTGCTCTTTTTTGTGTCCTTCATGGCTTACTATTTTATGTAGTCTAGAAGAGGCTTCATGATGGAAGTCTGACTCGAGCCCCCTTTTTCTTTCTTTTTTTTTCCCCTCCTCTTTTCAATGGAAATTGTAGTGGGTGGAGTACAAGTTTCAGGTCTAGAAACAGATTAGAATAGTGCATATTCCTAGAAAATCAAGAAGCCAGTATGGAGTTCTGTGTTATGTAGGATTTTCAAAGCTTCCTCTTAATGTTGTCCATCTTTAGAAAAAAATGTAGTTGAATGATGAATTGATATCTGCAGCCAAAATGTTGAGCAGAGGCTAAAGAGGACTGCAGAGCTCTGTTTTGCTTGTTTTGATCCTTTTGTCTGGTTAATTTTTAGCAGTCAGAATATTTTCAGTCTAGGCATATAACAGTGCCTAGGGCAGTGATAGAGGGTGAGAAGATCACAAGGGTTTCTAACTTTATCCATCCTTATGGCTCTCATCAGAGCCTTAAAATGAGTTCCTATTACGCTTTCACTCAGTAGAACACTATGATGGTTTGTGGTGTACTTTAAATAAGACGATTCTTACAGCATATTGCAAGTCCAGTTTTTTAATTTTTTTTTAAAATAGGTCTAGCAATTTTAAATACAACCCAGAATCCTCCTGATGGGGGAGATTGGGGACTGTTTGTATGGTATGCCCATGTGATATGAAACAGATGGCCTCTGTATGTCTTACTAAATTACAGCAGAGTTGTTTTGTATCACTCCTGTCTAATAGTCCTGGGAAAGAATTACAGAAGATGCTGAGCACCCTCACTTCATGTCAGTAGGAACTGTCATATGTTGAAGTACCTTGCAGTTGATTCATTTTAAACAAACAGACAAAAAACCCTCCCAAAACCTGCTTTTAAATAAATGGATATATAACTTCCTTGGGTTGTTCTTTCTGGCTGGCACCACACTTTGTAATTTGGAATACATTATTTCTGTGTGTCCATATCACAATTTATCTCTGAACTGGAGGGTAGCGTAAAAGCTGAGAACTTTTTCTCGAGATCATGCTGTGAACTTGAGGAGGAAAAACCCAATCCAGAACAGCATCAAGAAAACACCCAGAAATACATTTCAACCGTGGTTGAAACGAAGAGAGAAATTTGGCCTTGTACTTATATCAGTCAGCTGGTAAAGACTGTGCAGCGTATTTGGAGTAGTTACCTCTTTCTAGTCTGTGG